GTGGGCCGCACGGTAGTTAGTAGGCTTAGAAAAGGGGTGGCAGAGGTGGAGAACAAGAGTTCCGCCGGTTTCGCACGGCGGGGTTGGGACTGGCTGGCACCAGATTTATCTCTCGACCCCATCGTTTCGGCCTACGTTGTTATGGGGTGCGTCGGAACGCCAGAATGCCAGTGCACCAGAGGCCATAGGGGAGGCTTCGACGTCGGTCTAAGCTCCGACCATTTCGATGCGAGGGTAAAATGAGTTTTCTTAGGGAGCGTTTTGACTGAGCGGGCTATTCGCGTCGAGTCCTGTTAAGTTCCATCGTGGTGAATTAAATCGTGACAAGTCGAATTGCACGGAATTACTATGTGTTGAGCCGCAGTGCGTTCAGTTGCAACCCTTTCAATTGCAACGAATTGCAGCGTGACGAATTGAAGAGCGTCGAATTGCAGCGTATCGAATTGCAACGCGCTGAAGCGTAACGCGTGGAATTGTAGTGCTTCAGTTGCAACGCACCGAATTGCATACCAACTTGCAACGCATCGAATTGTACCCTGTTGAATTGTAATACGTCGAAGTACACCGTGTCGAATTGCAACGCGTCATCTACAGTGTATGGAACTGCAACACGTCGAATTGCAACGCAGCAAATTACACTTCGCGTACAAATTTCCGCGAAGCTTAGTATCATAAAATATTTTGAAATATACTTTGATCGTGAATGCACCTTTACGTGTCCTTTTCGCGCACCCTCTCGTGGGAACGCCCTTCCCTCTTTGAATCTTTTGCTTCCATTCATTCGGTTCTCGGTATCGGCCCCGTTTACCGGAGCTTCTGTTTTTCCTTTTGTTTAGAAACTTGTATCACGATCGCACAAAGGGGTGAAAACGCTTTTCACCACCGCCCCCGTTGAGTAATTACGAATTAAACGCAGGGCTGACGGAGACACGTGCCGCGCCAAGGAAGTTGTTTCCAACCTGTTTATGCATTCAACGGATATACACGAGCGTTCCACGCGTGCACCCCAACTATTCACTTACGCCTGCTGGTATTACCTGTCGGTCCTACCTCGTCAGAAGGGGTACGAAAGAGGGGCTGAAAGGGGAACTGGCAAGTTTCAGGGTGGAGGGATTGGACTGGCTGGCGCCAGGTTTATCTCTCGACCCCATCGTCTCGGCCCACGTTGTTATGGGGTGTTCCCGAGTGGCTTAGTGGGGGTTGCGAAACCCGAGGGAAGCGAACGGAGAGAAAACGAAGACCCAGCCAACAGAAAGAATATGAAAATGAGGCTCGATGAGAAGAACAAGATGGGAAAGCGAGAAGAAAGGTGACGGAAGGGTGACGCGAAATAAAGCGAGGGATGAATACGCCAGTTTTCCGCGGTTCAAACTTTTAGCATATTTATTGTCGTTTATGCCTGTAACAGCAAATCTTGGAGGGAAGTGTAAATTGAGTCTTGTAACAGGTTGAGTGTTGGGTTTCTTGCGAGTTGGGGGAAGGTTAAGGGGATGAATCGTTCAGTCGACAACTAAATATTGTACACGATATTGTGTTTCTCTGCTACAAATTGAAAGGTCTTTTACTCTCAACAGAACACCGACTGAAAATTGAATATTTGCTCACGAATAACATGGAAATGGAAATCGATTATTCTGGACAAAAAGCCAATAATTTTTATTAAGAACATCGATGGAATGTTTAATTAATTGAAATTGATGTATCACAAACGTTATATTCCGATACTTTTCCATCGAACTTTCATGTTGTATGCATCTGATTTTTTCTCGTAATTGACAAAGTGTCGTCAACGTCGATATATGGCCATTACGTTAGTAAAAAATAGAGGGAGGCGACAGGCATAATAAAACTGAAAGGACCCGAAGAAAAATGGCTTTCTATAAGAAGAACGTAAGAGGCAGAAACGAAGACAGAAGGATGAAAGGCAAAGGTTAAAATACAGTCGAAGGAGGCTAGGGATAACGTCCGTTCCAGAACAGACTGTCCCTCTGAACCCTTCATCCGTTCCTGTGCAAAAGCATTGTGTCAGGACGTAACAACTCGCGATAGTACGAAGCAGCATCCCATGGGGCACCATTATCCTGATTTAGCGCCACGGCTACGACTCTATTTCCTGCATGCTTCCCGGCTACACGCTTTCCTTTGTCCGGCTTAGCTTTATTTGCGCGAAAAGGGAGAAAAGCGTGGCCACGCCAACGGATTGACACGTTTGAGTGCTCTGCGCTTCACTTTTGTGCTCTCGTTACACGTTCGCTCCAATGCGATTACGTGACACGAAGATACGATACTATCGACTCTGACGTGACGGCGAACCTGCTTTCGATCTCCATTTTAATCCTTGCGCGCCGAATCGTTGGAAATCTGAGCGTTAATTGCAAAAAGTGGGTGGACTCGGGATTTAGTATCGATCCAAAGCAGGAACATTCGCCGCTCGCGAAGGCTCGTAAATAAATTATAATTAAACATCGGCGATTGGTCAAACACGATTCGCGTCTCTGGAACGTTTATCGCGAAACCGAATTTCGATTCTAAATCATGGTAGAGTTATTAGAACCTGGCACGCGAGCAAACATTTCAATTTCACCGTCTGAAAATTCTGCAAACGCTAATGAAAATCGATCGAAGAGCAAACTGTAAGAGATTAGAGTAGCTCGAAATCTGGTCCGCGATGGCTAGGCTCCAAGAATCCCAGCCGTTTACGAGCATCGCTGTCTTACGAGCTAGACAAGGTCTTGGTGACCTCGTAAGCTTAATTTGCGCCGTACCAGAAACTCCAGCCAATGAAATCGACGAGCTTATCGATCGACAAACCTGCACGGAAGTACCAAAAACGAAAGAGGAAGCGATCGAGATGCAGCGTACACCGGACCCCTGCTCAGCGAAACGAAAATACACAAAACCGATTTCCCCTATGCGCGTTTATATTTGTCAAAGGATATAAAAGCTAAATATTAATCGCCAGGGGTGTGCTATTCCTGCTTGCCTCGATAAATATCGGCAAATTAATGCCCAACGCAGTCGCAACTGTTTGGAACGAATATTTACACCGCGCGAGTGTTTTACAGTCTATGGAGAGTCACAAAGTAGTAACTTTGAACAAACGATATTTGAAATAACTAATTTCCCTTTTGTCGAGGTTTTAGAACTATGATAATAAATAAGCAAACAGCAATGAACTATTCGGTTTATTTTAAGTGTACACGATTTGATTCACTGGATCACGAAGAGTAACGCAACGAAATGGTTAACGAGTAACGTTAAAATATTATTCTACCAGTGTCGAACAGTGGTAGCAAAGAGAGAGTGTATATACTAGACGGATTACAGACGGCCATACAGTAGATATGGATTACAGAGGGATGCTGGTTAAATAGCCTGCAACGATGGTTAGGTTGAACCGCGAATAAAGACGGCCGGGTCCTTATTATCCCCATTGGACGTACGTAGAAACCGTGAGCCGGGGTTGCATCGGTTATTATTAGGGATCTATGGGCATTGAAGCGTACTTAGGGGTATCGATCTTCTTATTCGACCGCCCCGTGTCACACTTAAATACAATCTTTCGGGAGCTGTGTAATCCTCTTAGCGAAATATTCCCGGGCCTGCCACTATGTCGGTTCCTGATAACGTGTGCCATTGTTTCTTATCTGAACTGATTATGCTTGTGCATACGTAACTCTGAGAGACAACAGGAGGGTGAAGGTAGCGGAAAATGTGGGTGCACCGTGCAAGGAGACATTTTGGGAGACCTGTAATCCTCTTAACAAAATGTTCGCTATTAGCTACCGCATGCCTCCTCCCGTTCTACTTCCTTTTTTCCCTCGTTTGTGTTGAAAAATCTAAATTTCCGTCGTTACCGTCGACGTCGCTTTTTGCACATTTTTTTGGAACCTCGTCCGTGATTGCTTAAGTAATAGTTCTAAAACATCTCGGAAAGAGGAAGGCTTTAAACGTCGGACATCCTAATTACTCTTGTGGTTTCGCCATTTTGTGGTCGGATAATCGATGTTTACATAAAATTCGAAATAAGAAATCTCTATATCAACAATTATACGACTAGCAAATTAAATATTTTTTTTGCCAAAGATTTTTAATCAAATCGACTGAATCATTTTTAAATTCAAAATCAACATAATTTGAAACAGGAATCTACCTCGTCAATTCATTCGGATTTTAAAGCCATTAATCTCGAATTCCTGTGTAGGGCATCCAGCGAAATCCACTTTTTCGGCGAAACAGAGACAAACACGCCGCGAACAGACCGCGATTAGCAATTAATACTCGGTCATCCCCTATCGATCCAGCGATTAACGAAACCGATTTAATCAGCGGCCGGAACACGACTGGTCAGTCCTATTAATTAGCGGAATAATCGGATCACAGGGAATGACGTGTTAACCGTCCTCCTCTTCCTGGCGTGTATTACTTTCGATAATAGGCTCCATTACCGTCTGTGGAACTGATCCGTTACTAATGTCAGCAAGTCCGGTCCGAACAACGGTACACGAGACAACCCTCGTTGTTCCGACACTGGCTAAATTAATTCACTGATAAGTCGTGTGTGACGCGATCAAATTAATTTGCACTGGACATAGCACGGAATTAATTATTGCTCTAGCGAATCTCCTTCCGTTTCTGCTGCAAATCGTTATCTCGATCGTCTCGCGTATTTCATTGTAAATTCGCTTTAGGAAATGATATTCCAAGTTTCATTTCTGACAGAATTCTCAAATATCTAAATATTCAAATATACAAATTCCAAATGTTTAAATTCCTAAAATACATTCGAGATGAGATGAAAATTTGTCCCAATAATTTGGAAACACAGTATACATCGCGAGTCCTTTCATCCCGGAGCATTGATTAAAGTCAAGTTCTCAGAGTTCTCTTCAGTCGGAGCAAACTTCCCCCGAGGAGATTCAAAGAGAGAAGGCATTCGCGCAGCCGTTCGAGCAAAAATTTCATATGAATGGAGAAACAAGGTTGGAAAGAGAACTCACCGTAGAACCAGCACTGTTTTTCGCCGAAACGAGGTCTGAGGAACGTGTACTGAGGCTGAGGCGGAAGATGATCCAGGAGGGCGGCCAAACCGGCGACCAAAAGAGGGCCACCCCAAGCGTAACAGGCGTACACGCGAAGTCTGAGGGTCTCTTGGCTCTTTTCGATGCTGGCTGGTCTCAGATCCCTGCAAGATGAAGGAAAAAGAATGGTCAGACGCGGAAGCCACGAAACACCGAGGTCGTTCTGTGCGCACTTAAACGCTGCCTAGAACGCGAACAATAAAACACTCCAACAATCGCGGCGCTCGAGTTTCTTCTTTCATATGGAGAGTACCATTAGTAGCGGCGGAAATAAAAGGATCTATGAAAACGCTCCTTTGGAAGACCGATGACCTGACTGGTCTGCGTAATCGAGACTCTTAATGGTTCTTTCCGGTATCCTCGAACGCTTTTAGCTATTTACGATGCTTCATAAACGCTTTGATTCGGAGGAACAAGTATTTTAATAAATTTCCATGAATCGTTACTTGCTATTGCAAGTAATACTTCAAATTGATACTTCAAATTAAATGTCATGGTCTCTGTTTTATGTCTTTTAGAAATAGAGATAAGATTTAGAGAGGCGAAAGTAGTCGAAAGTAATCACTAAATGTGTAAGATGATACTGTTTAAGGTTACGCTAAGTAAGCTTGAAAAATGGTTAAAAAAGTGGAAGAGAGAAAGCCGGTTGGAAAAGTGAAACTTAGAGCATACGTGTGTTTAGATTAGGCAAGCAGCCAGGCCTCTTTCCCGTTTCCAGGTACTTGTCTAATCTAAACGCACTCTATGCCCATAAGAATTTGTAGCGTTTAAACGTAAGCACAGACTGTCACCAACCATACTTTCTCGATGACATGTTGCTAGTTTGTCAGTTTCCTAATTTCTGTGAAAAACATTAGAGCCAGCAGATAGAAATCGATGGGACGAGAGAATAAAAAGCTACCGACTATCGATTACTTCGATTGCAATCAGTGCATAACTAAAGAGGCTATCGAAACTGACAGACTGTTTTTCAAAAGGCCTTCAAAGCGAAACGCTCGGATTTGCTGTGAAAGTTTTTCGGTCATTAGCATCCCTTAGCGTCTCATTATACAAGCTCAACTTTGATCGCAAGCGATCTCGTTCTATTTTTACTGGCCGTGCAATAACTATTCTATCGTACGAGCGATACGTCTACGGAATCCTGCAGCTCCGAAATTCAGCGAAATGAAACGCAATAAGGATATGGTCAACGAATTTGCCACGAGTAACGATCTAATTAACCGTGACGAGCACCGACACGCGACATAAAAGAGGAGCTACATTGCCGACCGGAACGGTTCACCTGCCTGTTACCATTCTGAATCTTTAACGCTTCGAATCGCGTGTGTCAACCGGTTCAACCGTTCCTCCAAAAGGTACAGGTTAATTGTTTCTCGCTTGCGCCATTATACGGCTAACAACGATGACACGTAATTTTCCTGCTCACTTTTCAAAGGAGCTGCGAACTCCCTGGCCTCGATAAAACGAGGCGGGGAGGAGTTTAATACCTTGCGCATCGCTTGCAGATCAAGTGGATAAGCACCGCTGCTTTATAACTTAACAAGATAAATGTTGTAACTGTGATAGAGTTCAAATATTTAGAACGGTTATTCATTATCATAGATCAGATGCTATCTTCTCTGGTTAGATAGACGCCTAATCAAAAGCTATCTTCTTAGGTGACACGATGGTTTATTTCTATGAACGTGTGTACACGAGATCAAGATTATAATAAAATGATGACGAGATACTAGACATTGCACTTTGGCCCCAACATGTTTCAATTATTTTTCCAATTATATCTGCGAGTATAAATCTTACAATTTCGTTTGCATAATAAATGACTCAGCAGCGATCAAAAGCTCATTAATTGGCTTCGAGCGAATAACCAGTGGCATCAAAAAGTTTATTAACAGGATTCCGGTCGGTAAAGTGTTAATTACATCGATACGGAAGGGAGAAGCATTGAAACGAGCAATAGTGGCGCACGAAGGGAGACGCGATTATTATTATTAGAGGAACCGTGAATAATAGGGTCACTCGCGAGATCGTTCTGTCGTCGAATTTATCGCGGCAAGTTATTAACGAGACTTCGAATTCATTAAATTTCGACCCCGATATCACGACCAATGATTACCGGAACGGCAAAGCTCCGTCATTGTCTGGGTAGCTTAACGTCGCTATAACAACAACGCGATGGCAGGGGTTGGTCCGACAGGTTTTAGCGCGGAGGGTCGTTACTCGTAAATCGCACCCTATCTGAAGCCGACGTTACTGCGGATATGGCAAATGTCGAACGGTAACGACACGGTTCTATTGTCAAAAAGTGAAAATTCGAATAAAACGGGAGGATGACTGTACAGTATTGTTGGCGTCAGTTGGACTGCACGGACGAGAGCTCGTTTGTTTCATATCCGGTTATCCATGTTGCGCCAATCTCTCAATTTTGGGTCTGATTGAACCTGAATACCGTTATACCGGTATATTAGATCGTCTCTACATCCTTTACAACATTTACGTGTATTTATCGAAATGTCTTCAGATAAATGTTTGTCAATAAATATTTACAGTTTCGAGAATACACACATTGTCCGAAATTCCCACAACACCGGCAAGAAATAACACACCTTCTGAGAATGTTGTCTAACCAGACGAGCTTGCACCGGTGCAAGTATACAAATGTAACTCCGCCCTTGACAAGGATTAATAGACCCTAATGCAACTTCCAACGCCTCACACGTAACCGGTGAACAAATTAGCATTATACAAGATTAAACCGATGGGACATTATCAACTTGTCCATCCAGGCAGAATCACGATCTCACGATAATTACTCGATTACTCTCTTAAGCATCGATCCGATTAACAACGCTGTTAGGAAGATTCAAAGGGGTAAATTTTCAAACCTAATAACGAAGCGAATGTATCGAATAAGAAATTTTGCGTGTAAAGGTAGAGTGTTGGGCAGCCCCAGATGTCGCTATCCGAGTGTTAATTTCTGACGGCACGGTTCATTTCCGGCAACGCTAATTAGCCGTCACCGTGGTCGTTGCGCGCGATTAGTTACTGCTCGTCCGGCAGGACGAGAAAGTTTACCCGCAAGAGGAAGAGGGTGCACGGTACTCGCGTCCCGTTTCGATGCCGAAATGGCGCCACGATAATTTTGCCACCCTCTCGCTGTCCCGTTGGAAACGGAGGGCCGTGGAGCCGGTGCCAGGGATCGAGGGAAAACGCATTAAATATTGCCGTCGAGAAAATTAGGGAGCTGTTACGTGCTGTAGGCAACGAGCCTCTCTTTTTCGTTCCTTCTTCCGTTCCGCCTGTGAACTCGTCTAGCAAATATTTTTATGTTTCCAGCCTGTTTATGGAAGAGCGCTTGTATGCGTCCGCGCACACACCGCTTCCGATACAGAACAATTTGCGAACGACGACGTCTACTTCCGTGACAAAGAGGATTACTCGCGAGACTCTCTGTTGCGAAAGTATATAACCCATTGTCGGAGCACGGAAAGAGATAAAGGTTATTTTTATAATAATGGATTCCACGGGAAGGGTTTCCATTCGAGCTTGACGAACGACGATGGAATATACTACACTATTATCGCTACGAGCGCACACGCGAGACGAACAGAGAAGGGACTCGGCTTAATCCTGACAAAGGACTCGTTGGAATAGCTTCTTTTAATTGTATCCTGTCACCGCGCGTATTTATCGTTCGTATTTGCGAACGGAAAGAAAAAGGGGAAGATTCGCAAAAGGTCGGATAGCCATTAAGGTCTTTGTACCCGGCAACGTTTTATTTGGCCGTCACCGTGTCTCGGATGTCACTGTTTAAACGCTGCTCGCTATTGGTACCGGTAGATTCGATATCTCAGAACATGATTGATCCGATGATCGCCTCGAGTCCCATCGCAGATATTAAACCTATCGTTCCTGCGCTTTTATGGATCGACACTTATCTTTCAAATTCATCATTTTTTACGATCTCGGCCGTAATCAGAAACACACAGCTGTGCATACTCAACATGATTCTTAACATTTTTACAAAAATGTAAAGCAAGTTCAATGTTTTTAATGAAACGAACCTATAAAAATAAACCTAACACAAATGACACTGACTAAATGTAGAAAGTACAGAAACGGAAAAGTCAACTAAAATATTTCCGAACTACCTAAAAATTTGTTACATTGTATACATCTAACATAATCCAATACGAAGCATTTTAAATGTAAATCACTTACAGTACACAAGAAAACCGATGAATAAACAGAATTGCGTGTACTAAGTACATCGTCATCCATAAATCCTGTTTCTCCGCGGTGCGTAATGAATAATGAGCAGTCAAGTTCCCACTGCGTAAAGAAAAAAAGAAGATTCGCAAATTGTTACACGCCCATTTTCAGTCTGTCGTGTTCTTGTATCTTAGAACCGCACGCCCGACAAGAGAAGGACTTTAAACGTAATGGACGTAAACGTCGCTGGCTGTCGGGTGGGCACAAGGTAAGAGCCCTATATTTATCTATAAAGGTTATTTTTATAATAATGGATTCCACGGGAAGGGTTTCCATTCGAGCTTGACGAACGACGATGGAATATACTACACTATTATCGCTACGAGCGCACACGCGAGACGAACAGAGAAGGGACTCGGCTTAATCCTGACAAAGGACTCGTTGGAATAGCTTCTTTTAATTGTATCCTGTCACCGCGCGTATTTATCGTTCGTATTTGCGAACGGAAAGAAAAAGGGGAAGATTCGCAAAAGGTCGGATAGCCATTAAGGTCTTTGTACCCGGCAACGTTTTATTTGGCCGTCACCGTGTCTCGGATGTCACTGTTTAAACGCTGCTCGCTATTGGTACCGGTAGATTCGATATCTCAGAACATGATTGATCCGATGATCGCCTCGAGTCCCATCGCAGATATTAAACCTATCGTTCCTGCGCTTTTATGGATCGACACTTATCTTTCAAATTCATCATTTTTTACGATCTCGGCCGTAATCAGAAACACACAGCTGTGCATACTCAACATGATTCTTAACATTTTTACAAAAATGTAAAGCAAGTTCAATGTTTTTAATGAAACGAACCTATAAAAATAAACCTAACACAAATGACACTG